CCGTCTTGGCGATCTTGGCGGCTTTGTCGTATCCTGGCATGGAACCAAACGCACAAGTTAGCCGTCTGCGGGTTCAGAAGGTGAGGAAAAAGGGGGACACGTGGCCCGCTGAGAATTAATTTGCCAAGTGTTGCTAATACTGCTTAATTCAGCCCGCAGTAACCGTGCTCCAAATGTTTGCATCAGCTCCTTCCTTAAAGGGAAGGTAAATTCTGTCACTCTGGTCTCAGGGCATTTAGATCAAAGCTTTATGCAACTTTCTGCTTCAAAAAGAAAAATCTCATTTCATAATCTTTCACTTTTCATTGTCACAAACTGTCAAATCAGGATGACAGGTACACAAATTCTCCAAATCTCCTTTTTTTTTGACTCTGGTCAGAATTATTCTTAAAATGCACTGGTATGGCCACTGCAAGGAGCACGCATTTTTTTTCAACACTAATAGCAGTTGGTGATGTTAAAGTAAATTAACTTTTAGCCTGAGCCATAACTTGGCTTCCTAAACATGGTCACAATACAAATAATGTCTACAAAATAACGCTACCCTAAAGTATTTCAGTGTAACGTTTTGAGAAGTTTCTGAGCTTTAAGCCTACCTATATGTGGGTTAAGTGCTGTAACCAACATCAGGGATTCACTCATTAGTTTGTTGATCCTGTCCGTATTGGCTTGGATTCCAACTACACAGTTGTCAGTGAAAGAAACACAAACATCTCCAAGAAGTCTTGCAGAGTTCAAAACATTTTTAATCTAACAAAAAAAAAATAAAAGGAAGAAATACCAACTATTACACTCTGACATTAACGGCTGCACAGTTTGCCACATTGTTCATACCCAGTGCCCCCCACTCCCAGCAACACCCACTTCCTTAACGGGCTGTTGGCAGAAGACACACCCTCCTCCTTTTGCAGGGTAAGCTCAGCTGCTCCTATTTAAAAGAATCTGTGGGAAGCGTTCAATAGCAGAATTCCTCTTGCGTAAAGACGACCACAGTACATTCAAGCATTTTGTTGTAACGGTTCACAAATACCCCAGTAAAAAATACTCGAAGGCATTTGATTCATTGTCATGTCCCCTCCCCAGTACCAATCAAGAGAAGACATCTGAAAATGTAAAGTACAATAATGTCTGGCATTAGTCCTCTACTCCCACAATCTGTAACATGCCACTTTTTTTTTTTTTTTGGAGAGGTGTCTGTTTCTATCAAAATTTATCTTCTGCTAGGTACATCTCTTGGCTGTTCAAGAGGATTTTTGGTTTTTTGGTCAAAAAAAGTTTGTTCAGATGGAGGGGAAAAAAAAAGTACCCTAAATAGCTGCAGTAAGGAAGAGATAAATACTGATTTTATTATAAGATTTCAATTTTTTTCCAATCATTTCCTATTAGCATAATAAAAAAGCAGTATCAGTCAGTATAGGCTGTGTAGAAAAATAACATATGACACGCTACTTCCTTTGTGCCTCTTATTTCTAACAAGATGACAAATATTCTATTTAATATTGGGAACTTTTCCATGTCACCTTTATTCTCTTTAAACTATCATCCCTACACTAATACCTGTACTGTTCCTTCAGCATCTGAGAGACAGTGTGTAACGTGGTGTGTGCTGCGCACACTGTAGAAGGCAGACATTATTGTAAATACTGATGTCTAAGACTAATATTTACATTACTCATTTGCCAAAGGCATATAATCCTTTAGTATTCAGCAGTAACGGATATTAGGAATAGATAGTTGCTAAAGAAAAAAAATCTCATCTTTAGCTAAAATACCAAATTCTCTTCAGCTTTGGACAAAATTTTTCTCTGTGTTCCTCTCCCCAATTCCTTAGACTGATGATAAGCATATATTTTTAAGATAAAAGCTTATCTGTGTAAGATAGTTTCCTGTAAAAAACATTGCCAGTTCCCTATCAAAATAGCAAGGTCTTACCATACAAAAGAATAAAATTTGTTGTTACATTTTATCAGCTACTCTGGTGCTTGTATTGACCCATTATTCACCGAGACTTTCTCCCTGAGTTACTCTGATTGTACAAACAATGATTTAATTTAAAAGTCCTTTATGAACGTACCATCATGGGTTTGAAAACATTCAGTTCAAAGTGTCCGTTACTACCTCCTACAGTAACAGCAACGTGGTTTCCCATAACTTGGGCTGCCACCATGGTTACAGCTTCGCACTGGGTAGGGTTCACTTTTCCTGGTTGTGGAAGGGAAAGAAAAAGGTTACCAAGGAAGAAAAATTATTAAAAAAAAAAAAAAATCAGTACTTCCCTCATTTACCAAATCACATTCAACAGATGTTTGTAGGAGGTAAGATGTCTAACTCATCTGTATCTGTGCACCAGAGAAAAGAAATAATTTCTGTAAATGATATTGACTGTACTATTCCAGTAATTCATCTAGGATTTTTAAAAATAGTCCTAAGAATAACATTCATTATCTGTTTTTTTCTGAAAGTAAGATATGCTTACAACCTGTTTCTTTTATAATTTATCATATAGAAAGAATTCACTTAGAATAGTTTTGGATGTTCAATATTCACATACACATACTTTTTTAGGAGAGAGGCAAGGAATTATTTTTAATATTATTCCTTCCTTTCTTATTCTCCCATACAATGGGATCATTGCAGAAGGGAGTATGTGAGTACGTAACACTAATCGTGCTAAGAAGTAGGGACAAGTCAAATTACATCACAATATCGCTACAATTCATAGATCATCATTTAAAGCTTGTTTCAGAAAAGCCTTTACATAAAAACTGTAGAAATCTTGCAAGTCTAAAACAAGGTTATGAGAAGTATGCCTTTATTAATTAAAGGTATACGTTTACAATACTGCTCTCTGCCTCATAGTTGCCAACACACAGCTGTGCAAACAAGTACTTTTATGAACACAAATTTTGGTAGAATGTGGCAGAAGATAAAACCTGACAGAAGTGTTGAATCATGGATTTATTGACATTGGTGGTAGTGTTTGGTAAACATCTGTTAAGAGGTAGTGATCCAAAACAAAAGAAACAGGCAATTTTTCTGGATGTTTTCTCTGTACCTGGCATGATGCTGCTTCCTGGTTCATTTTCAGGTAGGATGAGTTCTCCTAGTCCAGAGCGTGGTCCAGAACCCAGAAAACGAATATCATTAGCTATTTTCATCAGACTGCATGCCACTGTGTTCATAGCTCCGCTGAGTTCAACTAGAGCATCATGAGCCGCAAGAGCTTCAAACTTATTTGGAGCAGTGACGAAAGGCAAACCTACAGGGAGGGCAGGAAATACTAAACCTATGAGACGCTTCCTTGCAGACATAAATCAGATAATCAAACACATAATTTGTTTAATAAAAAATGGTTAACAACACTGTAGGTTCGTATCTCTCTTCTCTAGACTGTTCCTCACAAACCTATTTCTTAAACAGATTCCATACAAAAGACACAATAAAAGCCCCTTAAATACAGACGAATATGAAATTTGACCGTCTCCCCACAAAAAAGGTACAAATTTCAAGCTTCTATACTGTGCTGCATACTAAGCATTGCTTTGCAGCACAGTACTTTGTGAATATCAAGAATCTCTTACAAATTAGCCCAAACGTACGTACTTCTTCCATGAAAGCAAGTTAGATTATTCAGATTGTCAACTGCTGGGTTGCTTTCTGCCAGTTATGAAAAGTACTGGAGTATTTTGCAGCACAGTGCAGACATTAGGATAAATAAAAAGTAATCACAATGGAATTATCTACTTAAAGAAAAAAGATGCATCTGGAAGGGAACAACAAGCCAGACAGAACACGTGAAAGCTGATTCAGACTTAGGAGCATCCCTGAAACTGCTGCCAACAGCAAGAGCACAGGAGCAGTAGAAGCAACAGCAGTGTTTACGTTAATTAAATGCCTGAGATTTGATGCTAGGTTCCACAATAAAAAACATTTCTTCAGGGCTTTACCTTGGAAGAAAAGTCTCAGCAGAATGTTATCAGTGGTAATGGACATCACTAAGGACTGGTTGTGGGCTGGACTCATGCCCCACAAAACTACTGGTCAGAGCTTACATCACCAGTTGAAACAAAAGCAGCACAATCTCCATAATTTCTAGCATTCTGCAGTTCCTGCCAAACACCAGATCACACCTGATTTCCACAGGCTTCTGAACTGCACAGCTGGCTTCCCAGCTGCAGAGATCATTCCAAACTTTCCCTTTTGCCCTTCCCAATAAACTCCCCTATAAGAACATGTGGAACTTCAATAGTTTGCCCCACGTGTTTTAAACTCGTACAACCTGCCCATACGGAACATCTAACGAGCGTTAAGATGAGAGAACTTCCTAACACCACTGATGGCTTCTTCAAGCACCAAAATAAGCCTTGCACTGCTTCCCAGCAGCTGTTGCTTGTGACAAGTTACTTCTTCCCTGTCAGGGTACAAGAAAGTCTTGACCCTCTACAAGACAGTGAATAATAGATCGACTAAAACAAAAATACTGCTGATAAGCATGTTCAGATTTTACAGCAAATTTAAATGCAAGACATAGAAAATTGGGGGGCGTTTTAAAAATTGCTGCTGTGACACAGAAGAACTGGTTTACAGATCAAAACATTGAATTGGTCTGTAAGTTAAGTTTTAAGATCTATAAAGACAGCATAAAAAAAAAAAAATCAGACAGCTGGCTTTTACTCTTTCACATGAAAACTGCAGTGGCTTTGGGAGGGTTTTTTTTTTCCCTTTTCTTGTGCCAAGTCACTGTAGATTAAGAGAGCAGAGCAGAGACCAAGACAGAAGCGTTATCGTCGGGCTACTCACAGAAGCCTGAAACTCTATCCATCTCCAATAAGCCTTGCTCAGAAAAACATGGTAATTTCAGTCGCTTTCAATGTACTGAGTACAATTATAAAAATACACTGCACAAAAAATCCTAAGTATAAGGCATATAACATACAGCATTTACAAAGTTTCATGTTAAAATATATATACAATTTGAGCTTATAAGAAGTATGGAAATGGAAAGATTTAGTTTGAGTTCAATTGTATGTTACATATACTGCTTTACTGGTAACTCTGCAATACCGTTCCTCACCTGTGAGTTCAGCCACTTTAGCAGCCACTTTCTCAGCAAAGCCAATTCTTGTGTTCAGTCCTGTTCCAACTGCAGTCCCGCCAGCTGCCAGCTGATACACTCGTGGCATGGTTGACTCAATCCTAGCCACACCGTATTTAATTTGTTGCACATAGCCACTAAATTCCTTTGAAAGAAAGGAAAAAACAAGAAAATAAAATAAAAATAAGAAAATAAAATAAAAAACCAAAGACAACAACCAAGAATAAGCATCTGGAATTATTTAGATTTTTGACATGATTGGACTAATTTCTTTAAAAACCTGAAGGCACTGAACTTCATGCAGACGCTAAATCTTAGCATGTTTTCACTAATAGGAAAAATTTACATACATTAGAAGACTGCTCTCACAGTATGAATGATTACACGTATCAACAACCTACATATATAAAAACGTATTCACAATGCATCTTTCTCTTGCCTTTTGTTTCAGTTGTGTACTTAGCAGGATCTGAATCCAAGGTACATCAGCTCTCAGATTAAATTAATGTTCTCTAAGGTACAATTAGAGAAACAGACCCTGGGCTTTTCTCACTTAATTTTAGTTAGTAAAAAACCCACCTATGCATTCTTGGAAAAAAACCACAAATTTTACATGGATTTTTATCAGTTCAGTTTAAGTTAATTCATTACCAAATTAATGTAATATAAGCCATTCTTGATAATAAGACAACAAAGATTTGCTATCATATATATATACACACAATCATGTATCATAAACATTTTAATTCAAAACACTTAGTAGCTTTTTGTGTTGACAAACGCTCATTTATATAAACTTAGAAATTACAAACTACCTACCTTCCTTCCAGTGTCGACATAATAGAAATATCATGCATTATCTGGTAATGGAACATGATTTAAAAATCTTTTACATCTTACTACTGTTTGAAGTAAAACACACATGGAAAAAATTAAGAAAATTTATGATGCAGTAGAGTACAGCATCCAGCAAACTCCAATAAAGATGTAAATACTCTGACTGAGATTCAGCCAGTTTCCTATTACTTCTCTTAAGCTACCAACTTAACTTAGGCCTCCTCAAGTTTGCCTCATTTTCCTCCAATATATTTACAAGAATTCTCCAAACAAATGCAGAATTATTTTTCTTTTTACCTGTCCAAGCGTAAGTGGAACAGCATCTTGTGTATGAGTGCGTCCTATTTTTATGATTTGGGAGAACTCTTTGGATTTTGCTTCAAGTGCATTCTGTAGCTTCTTTAGTCCAGGTAACAACACCTCATTAACCTCCTGGGCAGCAGCAATGTGCATTGCTGTTGGGAAAGTGTCATTTGAACTCTGTGAAGAAGTTCAAGAAATTTATTTACAAGCTCTTCTCACCTTTGTTGCTGTAAGATGTACATGTACAGCTTTATTCTCTTTATTTTATAAACAAGAAGAAACTAAGAGTAGGGAATTTAGGAGTATTCCAGAAGTCAATCTGCAGAAAAATCCAATCTTCTAAACTCCAGTCCAGCATCTTATTGATAAAGTCAACTTTTTATAACTATACCCACAGAAAGTTAACTACACGAGTAGACTGTCCACAACAACATTGAGACCAAAAAAAAAACCAAACCAAAAAGCATTGCTAAAGTAGTTATGAGAGACAAGTAACAAATGGATGGATGACTCTGAAGGAATTGTAGGTGACTTTAAAACACCCGTGTGTTGCTTTGGTAATGTTAAATCCATAGTGCCCAGGATACCGAGTAAGCGCAAAGGACCAGGAAGGGATACAACCAAGTCAGTGGCTTAAACTTTAGCTAAGCTGAAGAAAACAGTTATAAGTACCCACCCTTCAGAAACTGCATCTATTTACCTTCTTTAAGACAACATGTTTACAGTAGCAATGGTTGTTACCAGGCCACCTCTGCCCACTCCATCATGTGTGAATTCATCTAGCATGAATGAGTTCAAAATTTTTAATCTCAAAAGCTCACACAGTCACTGACCAACATTTTAAGGTTCATTTAAACTGAAAAACCTCAAAAATAATTGCCAAAGCTGTACAAAAATTCCTTTTTTTAAATTTTTGTTTTCCTTTTTTTTAAAATCTTAACAGTGGCCGTAAGGGAATTCCAAATTCTCAATTAAAAAAACCCCTACTTTTGACATTAAAAGGAGTATAATACAAGTATAATGACCTGGCTTTTGTTAACATGATCGTTCGGATGTACTGGGGTTTTGCTCCCCAGTTTGCCTCCCATTATTTCAATGGCTCTATTGCTGATGACTTCGTTGACATTCATATTGGTTTGAGTTCCAGACCCAGTCTGCCACACCACCAATGGAAAGTGATCATTTAATTGTCCTTCAGCTACCTATAATGGAAAAAGAGAATGAAAATTTGTTCTACTAGAAGAAAAAAAATTAAAAAGCACAAAACTGAGCATTTTATAGCTATAGTTCAAATAATGTTCTCCATTATATTTGCAAATCTCCAAATAACAGCTGTGAATTTATACCAGAACAATTAAGAGAGTTTGATGTAATACCAGGTATTAAAAGGGAAAAAAACTTTTCCTATGCTTTTTGAAGATGCTGAATTCTGAAATATAAAGAAATATATTATTTAATTTCATGTTCTACAGTCATAGAGAGAAAATATTTTTAGAAAGTCTTTTAGGTTATACGTTCTCTTTCCCCAACAATGCAGATGATTTTATAAGTCCGAAAATTTCCCTCCATCCCAAATTTTAAAGGCATTTGGATTCTAATCTTCCTAGGTAGGGCTAGAGGTAGTATGTGCTGGTTCTCCTTTCCACAGTTACTTGCTCAGGTTATTAAGGTCTCCCAGGCAAGGGAAATATCTTAAGTAGTTTCTCAGTCAGAGCACGTAAGGTGCTTCAGGGTACTGATTGAATGTGTGTGTCTCCTTGGGCCATGACCATCCTTTGGATGTCAGAAACATCAGTTTTTCGACATTGCTTATCCATTTACAAACTCCTCATCAGCATGGGCACAGGACTTTCTCCTAGAAAATCCCAAGTTCAACAGCTACACAATTTCATCACAAATACTGATCACAACTATACAAGAATTTGAACTAGAGGCATTCAGAAGTCCATTCTGTATGGGAAATAGTCCCCCAGAAAAGGTGTTTTTACCAAAGGTCATTTGTCAGGCATATGCAGTACATGATATTTGTATAATTGCACTCTGAAATTTCTCCAGAAATAAATTTTTTACAGGGAAGTGCCAGACCTCTTACATATACCTGTAGATACAAGATTTTGCATCAACACAATAAGCCAGCAGACGGTTAACTAACACCACCTTCCCATAACGCATGCTTTCCCTAATGCTGCCCTGGACCTACACGGCTTTTAATTGAGAGGTGCCTAGAAAGAACTCGTGACTGCCTTTACTGTACCACAACTGTAACTGAAGAGATTGCACATATAAAGAAGTGTGAGGATCACATGGATTTAAAAAGATTCGCGTGTATTGACTTGCTGATTACCCACAGGAACACAATCCTGATCAGCCAAAGATGGCTATACCAACTTCCATCTTCTGTAGGCAGGCTATGGCAACTACCATCTCAAATCAAAACAGAACAACAGGTACAAATACTCTCCTGTTTGATCTACATTTTTTGGAGCCTGTTGAACCTTATGTGCATTTAGAGATTTTTCTAAATGTGTGTGATAGTATCAAAATCCCATCAGAAGTATCACCCCATCTATATTAGCCTCAGAAAACTTGAGAATGCAAAGCAAAGGATCTGTTGTCACAACTCTGATGCTAGATAATTATCACCAAATTATCAGGATACATCAGTCGTCCTGGAATCATGCTTTTCAGGAAAGGATCTTAGGTATTTTCAATCTTATACAGGGGGAAAGTTCCCACCTCCAAGAGTAACTTGATTTCTTGCTGCATCTCTTTCATTTTAAGTTATATTAGAAAATTAATCTGTAGGTAAAGGAAATCATATCACTGCGGAGGTGCTTTCAAAACTCAACAAAAAAGCCCAAACAACTTTCAGAACTCATGAAACTAAACTAAGTAGCATTTAGCCACCAAAACTTCTGATCTACCTTTAACTAGGAGAATTCTAGAAACCACAGGAAGAGACTGGACATATTCTGGAGTTCTACAGAGCTCTTGGGTCCTGGGACTTACACTCCTACAGTTGTGTCGTGGGTTAGGTTAAACCGTCCCCCCCACAAACAGCCGGTCACTCCCCCTCCCCCACCCCCAGGAATGAGGGAGAGAATTAAAGGATAAACGTGAAACCCGTGGGTTGAGATAAGAGTGATTTAATACAGATGATTTAATACAATGTAGGTGCTCACCACCCCCTCGTATGCGAAGCCCGTCTCGTCCCGAAAACTGCAAATCCCGGACGAACGCGAGGCCCCGAAATAGAGAGGGGCAGAGAGGGAGAGATAGTACTCCGAGAGTGGGAGTACTGGGAGAGAGAGAGAGGAAAGAAAAAAAAAGAAAAAAAAGCAATAGAGCGAAAAACACAGCAAGCGCAAAAGAGCAAAAGCGGCAAAAGCCAAAGCGCAAAAGCCAAAGCGCAAAAGCCCCTCTTCCCGTCTGACCCTCGCTTTTATACTGGGCATGACGCTGCATGATATGGAATACTAATTGGCCAGTTTGGCCCTCAGTCTTAAGTTCCACACAAATCACAAGGGGAATCGTGTCCCCCTTGTCCCAGCTATGCTCCCCACTTATCTCGCCGTGCTTCTGCACTCCGGCACACTGAAAAGTCCTTGGCAGCTTGTTATCAGCGTTCTTCTCAGAGTGAGCTTCTGAGTAAAACCAAAACATGGAGCTTTTCTAGCTGTTAAAAAAAAACACCTCTGTCCCAGCTAAAACTAGGACAGGTTGGTAGAAAGAGGATAAGGCTTCTGCAAATACTGAAATATTTTTGAAGCTAGTCAGAACAAGAAAGTTCTGTAGAACAATGTTTCTAGATAAATGTATCTCTTGATTTTCACAAAACAAGACACCTGGTATTACCATACCTCCAATACTGGTCATTCACAACTCTGTGCACTTGGGTGGCATTTATCCCGAGAAAGAGGCAATGGCCTCTGTGTGTCACATCATGTCCTCTTTAGCCTTAAGAGTGATACTTAGAAAGCACAGAGTTACTAGTAAGCTTAAGTCTGAAGAGGAAACAGACTAGTAACAGAGAAACTATTCAGATTGCAGATGGTCTTTACATTACCAAGATGCAATTGCTTAACAAATTGGACACTTCCAAAACAAAAAAGCTTTGCTTGGCATGTCACACTTCACATTAGCTGAATGAACCAAGATTCCATTCCCCTCCTAGTTTTTTTTTTATACTGTTCATCTGGTAAGAGTTAACAACTATGCAAGTAACGAGTAATCTTAATAGAGGGGAAAAATTACACTGTTCATAAGTATCAAAACATATTTGAACATTCAATCATTGCTATAAATGTAAGAAGTAAAACGGTACCACATTATATTAAGTAAACAATTTCTCAACCTGAAAAACAAAATTTACTAACAACAAATGCCTTCCTCTAACAATCTGAAGAATGCAAGAGGTCTTCTCCAAGCTTCCTGTAAAAAGCTTAACAGAAAACGCACAACAGTTCCAGTATTTTGAACAATTTGTTCCTACCTCATTTGCCGCCTTTACGATAGCATTAGCAATCTTTGGGTCAAGGCCATAATCTTGATTTACTTCAGCAGCTGCTCTCTTCAAGATGCCAAAAGCCCTTATAACTTGAACCTGTGACACAAGAGTAAGTTCATTTTTTTTTCCAAAAAGAAAGACATTTTAGGAACCTATAGCAGAGGTCTAGTTCTAAACCAAACTCCTTCTGAACTTAAATCCAGCAACAGTCCATCAACCAAACCAAAAAGCAACCAGGTCACATGACCTATTCTCCCATTAACAGTATCATTTATCCAAGCAGTACAGAAAGTAGTACATAGCTTATCCTTCCTTTGTAACGCAGGTATGCTTTGTGTATCAAAACAGATTACAAGCATTAAAATGAACAGAAAAGGTTCTACTTCTAAAATAGCTTTTTTGAGGGCAAACTGACATATGTTTCAGTACATGGAAAGCCAGCGCATGACAAAGCGCACGTACACTAATGCTCTATGCACAGCTACACGTGAAAAAGTAACTTCATTTCAACTCATGCTGCACTGAACATCTTCAACAACAAACTACGTAACACTGTAGAAAACAAACTATTCCATTCAGTCTTTCCTCTTCAGGAAAATGAAAGACAGATTTCTATTCATCCTGGTTATTATTATCCTTAAGCAACACAATAAAGTAATTATTCAAAAGCAACATTCATTTAAATGAAACAAAAAATATTTCTAACATAGAACAATATTTTGTCACAGAATTTCTACCTTTAATTAAAATTCAAAGTTGTCCATATCGCGAGCAAAAGTCTAAGAAAAAGGTATTCGCTCTCACATCTAAAACATACTTAAAGAGAAAAAGGGAACATGGCTTTAAATTACTTACTGGCATTCTTTCTGAAACACCTCCAATCTTGAAGTTCATTGTAGATCTTACAGTCTGGGCACCATAGTATTTGTCACTTGGGACCTTCAGTTCACCAAAGGTATCATATTCTATCCTAAAAGCCTCTTGAGTGGACTACGGGGGGAAAAAAAATATATTTCAAACATTGGTAAACAGCACATCCTTTTTGAAAGCAGATACTGTCAAGAAAAAATGTGCAAGAAGGGGATAAACCAAAACAAAGACACGTAGCTAGTCAGAGACATTTTTCTAATTATATCTTCAAAGTTAAGACATTTTTCTAGTTTCAGCACCTGTCTCACTAGAAGTCACAACTACTAGCATTGTGAAGCCTGGCAGACCCACTGGTGACAGGCAGCACTGCAAGACTTAAGAGGTCTTCTTTTCAAAGAATTAGTAACTTATCTTACAATTTACAGAACTGGTGTTCTGGTAAAACCAAATTGAAGAACTAGCACGGTAAGAATTCAGGTGGTATCCACCCAGGCAAGAGACATGTAACACAATCCCTATTTGAAATCCACACTGCACATGGGACAGAAGAAAAATACTCGAAGAGAGCAACTGACTAATTCAGTACCAAGCTACTGACAATTAATTATCTTCTTAAGCCTAATAAACCAGGAACACAGTTGCCTCAACTGAAGTCGCTGTGCAACACAAAGAAACTGCATCTAGGAATATTTTGTGCAGTATTTATGTAAGGCAGTATTTCTGCATTACGTATACACCTACCATGCATTATTATCTGATGCAGCCAGAGATGAATTAATTTTGACATACACTAACTAAAAAGTAATTTTTTACTTTTTGTGAAACAACACATTCATTTGTGATGATGCGATCACATTCACATCCAGCTCTATAAAGATTATAGGACTGGACAGGAAACAAGAGCAGTTTATTCTTCCTCTCCTCATGCCTTGGTGAGCAAAGTCTCAATTTTCTGTGAGAAAGGTGTTCATCCTTCCTCAGGAGAGGAGATTACCTTCTTGCAGAGTCTTCAGGAAGGGGAAGAAGTTTTTTTTAATTCTTAATCATAGCAAGTAAAAGAATTCCAGCTCCATAAGTAGGGTATATACACATACAATGCCGGGCTCTGACCTAACCATGACCTTCAGGGGTGAATCCTTGGGATAGCTCTATCAGAGCATCATGTCAGTGCTGCAGTGCAGCAAAAGAAGAGAAGCAAATGCTAGAAACTATTTAAAAAAGCAGAGGATACAAGAAGAACTTTCTGACTTCTTCATTCAGAAAAGAGACAACGTGGGGTTTGAAGGAAAACTGAGGTCAATAAAAACATCGCTGTGCCACTCAGAAGTCTCTGTGCAGATTTGGTTCTTTTATCTCAAAAAGCATATTATTGGAAACAGTTCAAACAAAGGCAGTGGGCTGATGAAAGGTAAGGAACAGCTGTCTTAAGACAACTGACTTCTTCATTCAGAAAAGAGACAACATGGGGTTTGAAGGAAAACTGAGGTCAATAAAAGCATCAGTAGAATGGTGATGGGTATTAGCTGCTTATTGCCTCTTCCAAAACAAAAGCAGCAGCTACGGCATTAGGCTAGTAGGAGTCAGGTTCAAAGCAAGGAAGAGGAAGCAGCTCTTCATGTAAGTAGCAGACCAACAAAACTCCTCGCCAGCTGATGCTGCAGATGCAAGAAGTTTGCTTGAGTTCAGGGAAGACGAGATAAGCACACTCATAAGAAAGATCTAAACTGGGTTATTTTACAAACAAACCACTGACTCGGGAAATCCTTGACATGAAAATGAGGAGTCTGGGTCAGAGTAAGAGGAAACAATCATGTAAGTCTGCATAGTTCTTACTCTTCCATAGGTGTCCCCTTCTGAAGTTGGACTGTTCCTCTCTTTTCTTGGTCCGTTTTACTTGCTCCTTGTTTGGTGAGTCTCAGTCTTCTGGGACAGGAGCCCAGCTGGGTATTGGGCAGATCACCCTCCCCAGCAACACTGACTTTTGGCAGCAGCCAGTCCAGGTGTGCATCACCACAGATGGCAAGCTGCAGGCAGTAGTGGCGCAGGGGGTGGTTCCAGACTTTTTACAGTCCTAAGCAGCCTTCCCAGCCAGGTGGAGATGCTCTGCCATCAGGTACTCCAGCAGTTGCATACCGAAGACACCCGCCCCGCTCACTCAGGGCACTCTGTGACACAGAAGAAACCGCAGCCCAGCCCACAAAGAGAAAGGGTTGCCTCTCACATCACTGTCCCGCTCCCCACACCTTCTATTTCAGCTGATGCTCTCTCAGACACTGACCCCACATGAATACAAAGCTTAGTGTGGACTAACATGCTATTCCTATGTTCTCTAATCCTCTTTATCCTATTTTAATCACTTAGCATTCATTTACATGCTAACAAGAAACAGAACGTAATCAACACTTATTTTGTATCTTACTACCAAAAATGTTTTATAGGGATGCTTGTGGGTCTTACTGCACGTCTGCACATATTAATATTCCAACAGTGGACATCATTGATGCATCTGAGATCCCTGCTTTTGATATCTGGACACCTTGTGTAAGCAGACAATATCAAGCTTTTCCTAGAGCCGGATAAGCAGAACCAATTCAGTTCCAAGCCCAGCTCTTGATGTCGTCACTCGTTCAATCACCAGAAGTATCCACACTCAAACAATATCCAAAAAGTTAAACTACCTTGTCACGGTTTTAACCCGGCTGGCAACCAAACACCACACAGCTGCTCGCTCACCCTCCTCCACCTCCAGGGGACGGTAAAGGTAAGGAGACTTGTGGGTTGAGTTAAGAACAATTTAATAATTGAAATGAAATCAAATAAAATAATATAATAATTATCATAATAGTAGTAGCAGTAATGATAATAACGATAGAATATACAAACAAGTGATGCACAGTGCAGTTGCTCACCACCTGCTGACCAATACTCAGCCTGTCCCTGGCTAGTGATTCTGGAGGAGAGAAATCCCGAAACCGCAATCCCGGAAAAGAGAGCACACTTCCTGGCCAACCCGCATCTATATATTGAGCAGAACGTCACATGGCATGGAACATCTCACTGGCCAATTTGGGTCCGTTGCTCTGGCTGTGCTCCCTCCCAGCTTCCTGTGCACCTGCACACTAGCAATGCGTGGGAAGTCGAAAAGTCCTTGATTTCTTCTCAACAACTAAAAACATCAGTATATATATTATCAACATTCTTCTCATACCAAATCCCATACCAAATCCAAAACACAGTGCTATTCTAGCTACTAAGAAGAAAATTAACTCTATTCCAGCTGAAACTAGGACATACCTGTAACCTTTTAGACAAAAAGAAAAGCTAGCAGTTGCACCATTGATCTCTCAAACTTACACAATTCCAATGTCAACAATGGTGAAACAAAGATAAAAAGGATCAGTACCTCCTCATACAAGTACTTGTTAACAACGAAATCCCATCCATTTCCACATTACGCACATTCACAAACTCCAATGAAGTTAATGGAGTAAGGTGCTGGTCCTGGTTTCAGATTTACTATGGGATGTGGTATGTTAACAGAGTAACAAGTGACACTAGGTAAAAAGCAGTGACATTTTTCATACTCACTAAAGGAACCAAACTAGACTTCAGCATTACCTTCAGACAAATGTAGCAGCCTGCAGATGTCACTGATTGAATTTTTGCTTCCCCTATTTCTTAGACAGAATTCACCCTCTTGAGTGTGTCTGAGCTGAAGGTTCAGTTCCTGGGTCTAAAGCGGATTCCGCAGATGTTCCCTGAGGGAACCTGCTGTAAAATGGTGCAACAGTAGCACACTCGGGTCAACCCTTTACTCCCACACCAGTGGGCCACAGGAGAAGCCAAAAGGAGACCAAGCGACTCTGCCACAGGCCAAGGCAAACTCCTGTGCTCACTTAGTTTCTATCATAGCTACAGCCAAGTCTCAGCTCAGAACTACTATTCCTCACCTTTACAAAACAAATATTTTTTTTTTTTAAAGAAGCCTGACAAGGTGTGCTCTGCCCTCCAAAATCCCAAAAACCCATAGTCCAAAGCTTACAGAGTTAGGCAAATATAACTGTACTTTTGCCTTGTTGCAGGAAACGAATCAGGTTGAACTGATTGCACCATAACGCACTGAAGATATTCAAATAATGCTGCGATAATGCTTCCTGTGGAAATTATATTCTGATTTAAGGATGCAGCAACTTTTGGATATAACTATTTCAAGTCAAAGAATCATAATTTTTAGCATGTCAAAACCAATCTTTCAAGGCCAGCAGAAAATGGAATTTGTGCTCAACTGCTCTGCTTTAACAGATGAAGAACCCTTCCATTTTTAAGTGCCATTTCTCCTTTACAATATTGAGTCACAAATTCTGAAATTTACTCTTTAGAAACCAAACCCAAGTATTTTACAACATCCACCTCAAGAAGGACCATTATGATCACAATTCAACTTAAAACATCTTGTGCAATTTAGCTCTAAGTTACGGCAATGCAACTGTCAAACTAAAGGACAACATGCACATTTGGTTGTGTCTACAAAAGGTGTTTCGAAACAACTCTTGCTGCTGAAAAATCCCTACAAACATCAAAAAGTGGTGGGGTTTTTTTTACATTTAAATACTGGTTAGTAGGTTTTTTTGTGGTCCTCTTGGAAATAACACTGTAAGAATTCCCGTAAGAAAATTCAGCTGCTTGAGTTCCAAATTCACTGAAAGATGCTTTGCTATAACTACTGCTGTTATTTAAACCCAGGCAATTAATAATGCCTATTTACAGGACAGGTGATATTTCTGACCAGCGAAGATCAAAACACATGTTTCTTGTAAGATTGCAGCCTTTCATAAATACCAGGTCTTCAGGGAGCAAACAAAGGCCATGATCTGTAAATTTTTTTTCCTGCACGATGCCACACAGAAACATAAAAAAATGGGAACCATTTGACAGGCCAACGTCTTACAAGTTACACAGTCTGCTCTGACACTGGTACGTTTCATTCACCATGCAGTTTATTCACTCACTGGGAGGCTTGTTCTTTTAAATGCCATGTTCTACACCTTAATCAGTATCACGTATTAGAAACTAATATTCTAGTTAAAATTATTAACTAATTTAGTAAACTAATGAATTAA